GGCTCATTCAGGAAACATAACATAAGATCAGAAAATATATGTCACAATCTCTTGTTTATATCATGCCGTCCTCATTTTGATACATCTTTTTTTTTTCTTTTACTATAAATGACGGTAGTTGGGAATTAGATGCTAATTTCCGTCATGAGAAGTGTGTGTTGTTACATTTTACTTTATACTTTTCTTGTCTTTTTTTGTTGTGCTATGAAAACAGATATTTTGCCTTTCAGGGAAAATAAATGACACATTTACATACTTTGCTGTTGTGTGGGATGCTTGTAACCACTAAAAGATTAATATCTGTAAGCTCTACTCTGCTGTTAAAGTAACACAATATAACAGAAGCCACTAAAAAGCGCATGACTGACTATGCTTAAGAAACACAGATGTCCACAGAGAGTCGGTACATTTGGAAAGATCATCATTTATTAACAAGTTTCATGCTAACTACTGGAGTTGTTAGCAACCCAAGGAGGACCTGTTCTGCTCATTTCCAATTTCATGTAGTTATTCTTGAACTCGTCTGCGGCAGCAGAATAGCTTTGCATAATTCACCGTTCAAAGTAGCAGATGCTGGGCCATCTTTGCACTCTGCACCATGACAGTGAATATGAATGAATGAAAGCTTTATTTGTCACAAGCAGGTTGCCCTGCAGTCAAATGGGAACCCTCCCCCCTCCCCCCCTTCCCGAACTTAGACACATAACACAGACATCACATGGGGTTACAAGTCGGAGATTGGTAGCGTTGCAGAAAAACACTGAAATGTACACAACAACGGGAAGGTGCAAGAGGAAAAAAAGAGACCTCCACTCATGCTGTGCTTCCATGGTAGGACAGCATGAGAACAGGAAACAAAAAAACTCCTCTGCACAAAAAAAGCACATGAATGTCCACAGCACAACATTGTGGAAGACATGACAAGCCACAGGGATGGGTAGGGGATGAGGAGTAACCCCAGGCAACACAGCAGCCATCCTGCAGATTATGCTATACATATTGTTATTGTCTGTGCCATGTTGTTATTGTCACTATTGTCTATTGTCTGTTCTGTTATGAACACTGGGACCAAAATAATAGCACGTTTCCTTGTATGTGTGCACATACTTGGCCAATAGAGATAATTCTGATTGTCAGTCCACCTTCTGTAGCCAGGTAGCTGGTTTAGCTCCCCTCCCTCAGATCTGGATTCTGTCTAGGAAGCAGCAAATCTGAAAGACGGATCATGGCCGTTTGCCTGAGAGGACCATATTAAGGATATCCATATCTGTCATTTTGACATCTCTTTGGTAGCTGAAGCCTGAGTTTTTGGTTTAGAGGCATTACCTCTACATGCACCGTGCTTAATTTGAGCATTCTTCACTATAACGATATCTGTGCAATATATGTTTCATTGTAAAGGGCTATTTTATTCTATGTGCATGAGAGAACGTGATGGAAAGAATGAAAAATCCATTAACTGAACACAGGACACGTGTGTGAGGGAAGCAGTCTTCTGAATGTTGGGTCCAATCGTCACTCTTACCTGAACTGAACTGAGAACCTCCTGCATCTCCATCAAAGGGACATGTTCAATCAGCATGGGCTGCAAACTTGAGAAATAAATTCACTTCTTCTTCTTCTTCTTCTTCTTCTTCTTCTTCTTCTTCTTCTTCTTCTTTTTAGAAAAAGTCACTTCAGCTGGAATTTACTATATGCTTAAAAGCAAATGTTTTTAACCCATAACCCCCCTCCCCCACAAAAAATAAATAAATAAAAAATAAACAAGTAAATAAATAACTATTTTAACCAGCATGGTGGTGTCAGCTTGCTTCACATATTGAAGTTACAACAGTATGAAGAATGCTTCATTGCTTACATGGATGATGCAGTGGTGCTGTGTGTTATGGAGAATTCATGTAAATCACTGATTCCCATTATGTAGACCGTGGCCCTCTGGTGGACCAAACGTATACTGCAAGTGTACAGTGTACAGAGGTATGTACAGTTTTATTGGTCTATCTATCAGATAGATAGATAGATAGATAGATAGATAGATAGATAGATAGATAGATAGATAGATACTTCAGTTTCTCTTGTATTTGGATTCAACCGAACATTTATGGTCAGATGGGCCTCTGTGGGATTTTCTGCTTTTGAAGTGGGCTGCAGCACTTTGACTTTGAGAATGGCTGATGTAAATTATTCCAGTCTTATTCAGTGACATTAGCTCCCTATGAAAAAAAAATCACTATGGAATTAAGTCTTAAATCACTTACAAATAGTGACTCCTTGCTGGAACATGTTACTTTCCATGTTTTTTACACTTGTTGTATAAAATCAGGCCCAGGACTCTTGATGTCCATTGTTGGATTTGTTTACTTTTCATAGCAGGCTGTGGTGTGCTGATTAGGAGAAGCATTCATATAGCTGAATCAGTAACTTTGGAGAGCACCTCGGTGTATGCTTTTCTTTTTTTCTCTTTGAAAGGCCTCTTACATTTTCAGTTTTATTCCAAAATTTCCAGAGTAAGCTTTTCATGACTCTTCAGCACTTGCAGTTCATCAGCTCTTCATGTATGGTTACAGTATCTCTTCTGCATTCTCAGTGACTGTCCTCCATAGAGGAAATCAAACCTCTTGTCAGGCTCTATTTGCACTTGAAAGCACTTGAGGTCATATCCTCAAAATGCTTTAAACCACTTATAAGGTGTCAGAAGACTTTTATATTTTTATAATGAACATCTTGAAAACTGACATTATCTTTAGTTAGCTTGGCTCTTAGATTTAAGCCTCTTTCACAGAGGCCATGGAAGTAACCATTAGTTGATATAAGTCATGTCACAAATATATGAACTATTTTTTTTTTTTACACATGTAATGCAGCCCTGAACATTTGTAGTAGTATCACTGTCGTTAGGTCCCTGTTGTCCTTCTTTCACACCTCAGTAGCTACAGTATGGCTTGTACTTTAAACAACACTTTTGAGAAAGTTGTAGAAGATTTTTTTCGTCCTCAAAAACACTTTTGCGAGTAATTTATTTTAATTCTTTTTTTTTCTTTTTTTTTTTTTGCTTGAGAATAAAACAGCAGAGATTCTGTTTCTCTTAAAGCCTGTTTTTCAATGAGACCACACAAGGACACAATATGTCTTCATACCCAAAGTGGCTCAAACTAGGTGTTATTTACCTTACTTCTGAGGGGTGTACTATCTATGGAGCAAGCTTGACCTAGCCTTCATCAACAAATGTTATCTAGAGATGATGAGTTTAAACTTTATCTGTTAACTTAGGCTGTCTGCGTCAGGCTCGCTGTGACACGTGACATTTAACTCACCATTTGTGCAAACATGGACCTGATTCAGGCAACTGGAGCAAGTCATTTACAGTTTTAGAGATTATAAGAAAAATATAACAGTCAAGGCAAGAGTGCAAACCTACCATAGACGGTATAAAATGGGTGTCAAACATCAGAGGCCAGAATTAACCTGGAAAAGACGACAGTTGAGCGCCCTAAATGTATATTTATAACAAAGTATACTATATACTATAGAGTCTTCTGAATTTTACAATGTGTCTACAATAAAATTAATAAATTAATAAAATAAATGTATTGTATAATTACAATATAATCCTTGCAACAAGCTACCAGAACTTTTCCAGACATTTTTACACGTGTATTTCCTACAATTTCCTACAAAAAAGGCCAAAGAGTCGTGCTGACTGATTTCTTTCATTTACTGCAGCAGCATTTCTTTTTGAAATGATCCACATAAGTCCTCAGGTTGAGTGTTTTTACCTTCACCATCTTGAAACGGAACATGACAAGCAGGAGGCATGCCTGACTGTGAAACCTCATGCTCATAGGCCAATTATTAATCCTCAGCTCTGGCTTTTAGAATAACTCTAATTTAGAAAATTGACTATGTTTTTTTTGTTTGTTTCTTTTTGTTAAATATGATCTGAAATTAGTGACTGGAGCCATAAACTCATCTGTAAAGCATTTATTGAGGTCAAATCATTTTCTTACAGACTTCTAGAGTTTGCCCCCTACTGGCAGTTAAACAGAACGCAAGTTTAAGGCATTTTCCTTCTCTCTAACCTTTTTAGGCCTGGAATCTAAGTCCATCTTTGATAATGTCCACATGCTACACACAATTCTTATTCTTATAAGTGAATATATTTATTTCACCACTCTATTTTAGCAAACCAGCTGAACTGTGCTGGTCCTAAACGCCAAACTTGATATTACAAAGCAAGTTTTATGTTAGCTGGTTTGTCAAATGCAAAAACTCCAGTCAGACATAACGGGTATTACAATGGTGCTCATCAACTTTTTGCTGTTAACCCAGGCTTTGTGCTTCAGGCTCTGTGCATGCTCATATAGAAGAGGTGCTTGACACATCATTTGACAAAATGGCCACAGTGAAGGCCACACACACTCATTTGCGAACACACAGGCTCGTGCGTAGAACTATTTTTTAACCACTAATCAGCCACAGCAGCTGCAGGATTTATCCAACAAAAACAACAATACAGTGCTCTTTTAATACGATATTTACTGTCAATATTTTGACAGGGAGCGTACAATGGTCCGGTGGTATCACATTGTACAGTAATCAGATGATTGGCAGCCTGTTTCCAAGCTGTGCAGCAAACAAACTCTTTCCAGAGGCAGCAGGTTATGTACAGCCAGACTAAACTAAATCTAAGCCCGTGTGATTCACCACTGCAACAATAGAACATTTTTGTACATTTCCTACTGCCATAAAAAAACACTTTTCAAATATACTCAAAGAGAATTTCATCAGGCCAAAGAGATGACATCACCTGTTACATCCTATCATATTGCTTAGGTACTGTTCACATCTTATTAGTTTGTGTGATTGGATACCAAAAGACAGTGTAATGAAAAATTAACTTTCCCAAAACATATTCTAAATCATTTAAGGAGGAGTGTTTACAAATGACAGAATTTACCCTTGATGTTCATCCAAACAAATGTCAACCTTTCAAGGCGTGATATCTTTTTTTTTTTTTTTTTTTTTTGAATTACAGGCGTTTTGTGCACCATCAAATCCAAAACAAAAATTGACTTCAAAAGCAGCTTAATAAATTATTTAGATCATGTTTGGCTTTTAGATCCTGTCAGTCTCCATACCAACAGCTCTGTATGTCCTTTCACTCCTCCTTCGTCTGACAGGCAGCCCTTTTTGTTTAACTGAGTTTCTAAAGAGTCTTCTGAGGTGCAAAATCAATCATTCAAAGAGGTGTCAGCCATGGTTTTTTTTTGTCTTCTTCTTCTTCATCTTACTTTCATTGCTGTTCAGCCGGCTCCAGGAGATCTTGGTAGATTTCTGATTTCAGAAATCGTGGGTAACAGTCGTTTTCCATCAGGCCATATATCAGTTTCTGCGCCCCGTCGAAGCAATTTGGCCCCGGCTGAGAGATATTTTTACTGATTTCTTCTCTGGTCACACAGTCAATGTTTATCTAGGTTCAGAAAACAGCAGCTTTTATTTCACCCTTTCTTTCTGAATATATTTTTACATCATGTGTTTAACTGTAAAAGATAAACTGTTTAGTACTGAATAACAGAGAGTGAAAGATTTCCTTTTATTTGAATGTTTTTTTAGTAAAAGTGAGTCAAATCACCGCCAACCAGGGGTGATTTGTAGAGACACAGGTCTGACTTTGTTTGTTTGTTGTATTCACAAAAGCCATACCTGTCTAGGTGCACCAACTTGGACAAACTCAGTGTATATCCGTTTGGCAGCAATGGTCATTTCTGTCACTCTGGTTATTTTCTTGTACTTTTTGCAGGCCAGCCAGAAAAGAAGGTTCTCGTCACTGTACTCTGTCCTCAAGAAGTCCTCAAACACCAGCTGGCCAGCTGTGCAAAAACAACAAAAGCACTTTGAAATACAGACAGTTTCATTTCAAACCCTGAAGAAGTAAAGACTTGAATTTTTAAGGACCTGTGTGTTCAGACTGCTACAGTTTTATAACTTCACAGGTTGGATTTTTTTTTCCTCATCTGTATTACACCACAAAACTCAATCAGTCGCTTCCAGAGCTCAGGTAGCTCACATTTGTGATGCTAACAACTGCATATATAAAACAGTATATCTGGTAACACCCTAAACATACAGTAAAGGCACTTTAGCCTATTATTTGTGAATCATAACATGTCATAGGCCGTTACATGATTATATTTTCTTTTAAAAGTGTCTTATAGTGTTATATAAATTATTCCAAATTGTCTAAATTTGCTAGTGGTTTGTGTCCATCATGGTCCAAGGAAAATATTTCTAAATTAGTTTTTGTAAAACTTTAGTTTCTTAATTTATAAAAAGTCTAGATTTTCAATTCCATAAATTATTAAAAAAAAAAAACAACCCTTATATTCCTCAAAAGCATGTTTGCTGGAATTATTATTAACTATGTAAGCTGTGGAAAAATTATGCTTAAATCATTGGTTTCACTTGTGCTTACTGATAGTTGTTACTTTGATGTCTTGGAAAAAAAGATTATTGATTAGACAGCTGTTTAAAAAGAAATATATTTGAACCATGGTTTGATTATTGCTGTGTGCTTTCACATTTATGCTACCAAGTGAAGTGTTTTTTCTAAAGGTTCAAAATTGTTCCAAAACAGCGGTGGGGTAGTGGAGGAGGGAGCCACGTAAACTTTCTTGCCTGAGAGTTTTACAAATATCATTTGATTGATAAATACATTGTTCACTACAAATACAGTATGTCACTGTTATCATGGTTTGGGTTCAAATACAGCTGCTGCCAGATGCTGTTTTCTTAGTTACCATGGTGACACAAATTTGAAATGCATCACTACAAATACATGTTGTTCAGAGACAGGAAAAGCGTAATAATTCATGCCCACAAAGACCACAAAATATTTATTTTTTAAAGATTTTTTATGACTGTTTCACAAAATGCCATGAGACCTGACAGAGCCAAAATAGGATCATTTTTAAACCATAACCACATATGGCAAGGTACAAGATAGAAAAAAAATCAGCTTGTTGAATAGTTAAATTAAAAATGATTTTGTTGAACATTACATTACTTTTGGCAGCCTTCCTAATCATGCTGCATCTGTAAGCTACTTTGCAACCCACCTAAACCTCAGCTCATCTATTTCACGCTATTAACTTTATTTTTGACTTCATCAGTGTCATGTCATTGATGACAATTGCTGTCTGTACTGAGTAGGGAAGGGTACCGGTATCCGGTGCCGTGATGGCACCGGTTCTGACATAAACGGTAGTAACCAGACCGAAAAGCAGCGCACATTTCAGCGCTTTATTTCGGTGCTTTTTTTTTTCCTGAGCTGTGATACACTTTAGATTCTAGCCAATCATTTTACGTTTCCGAGGATAGTAGGTGGGTCCAGGTATGTACGTTCTTTTAGAGCAGAGCTACAGATTAAAAATGCCCAAGGCGAAGTGGTCAAAAGTCTGGTTGTACTTCACAGCAAAAGATGCAAACTCAGCAGCCTGCAACAAGTGCTTTAAGCTGATACTGTGATACTGTCAAAGGAGGTAACACCTCAAATCCGATGAAACACCTGGCGATGCATAGCGTTTTTTTAAAAGCCGAGAAATGTGCCGTATTTGATAGCTTGCTGCGAGACCTCACACCGAGCACATCTACTGCGGGTGTGGTGCCTATTGTCGGACCCAGAATTTGCAACATCCCCAAAAACCCGAAGAGGAGAGTCCTGGCCCCTAGCCCTGCCAGTGTAGCAGAAATGATGACGGATGATGATGGCAGCAGCAGCAGCTTCTCTGCGTGAGTAGCTTAATGTTGTTTGTGTGTAGTTTACGTTGAGTACGCTAACCACGTTATTAAATTAATGCATGTAAGGTGAACTAGCAAACACAGCTGAACATGAGAGATTTTTGGACCAATTTTGTGTTCTCCATTCTTTAAGCACCGGTTTGAGCACCGTTTAAGCACCGGCACCGTTTCAAAAGTAGCGGTTTGGCACCGGTATCGGATAAAACCTAAACGATACCCATCCCTAGTACTGAAGGAAGCTACTACTGCTCTCCCGACTGGGGAGGACTCAGAGCAGAACCAAATCGCCAAATATACAAGTCAATGAGTTCTTTTAGACTGAAGGTCTGAAACTTACGCTCTACCATTCCTGGGACTCTATCCACCTCTTTAGATGATCATTTCAGAGTGAATTAGCTTATTAGATGGCTATTTTACATCCATGCGCATCGTCATGATTTATCGCAGTCATTGCGGCTGATTTCAGTGCAAATAAATGAAAGATCCAAGATGGTAGCATGGATGTAAACTTGAAAATAACTTTTTACACTGATTTGAAGGATTCACATATCTAATCTACAGGAAACAGCAGCTCATTTGGACTTTTCTGCTATTTCAATTTCACTGTCTGTCACCAGAAACTTCTACCCTGTGCTCTTCAAAAAAGGCCTCTTTTGTTCACTGTAAACTGCTGTAAGCTCTTGAATCAGGAACAAGTTTTTCTGACGACAGGGACAAAATATTGGGTGAAAGCAAATTTAAACGAATCATTCACTTTCAAATTTATAAAGTATTTTAGGTAAATTTCATGAGAGCAACAAGCCTCCTCTGAAGGTTAAGCAATTCTGTATCTTTCTCTAACATTCTCCTTTCCTCCTAACAGTGCTCGTAAGCTCAAAGAAGGCAGTGAACAAAGAGACGATGCAGAAAACTGCCAGGCATTGTGGTGCATGTCTGGAGGCCCTTTTAACTTCAAAACCTTCAAAAACCGAACCCGCGTGCTCTGCTTCTGCATCATATAATTGCACACACCAATATTTCTTGTTATCTGCTCCCCACACTCCTTACCTTTGTTATGGGCGTATTCATGGAGCTCTGATGCCAACGCAGGTGTTAAATACTCAGCTCGTCTTAGGGGAGCACAAACAAGCAGCTAACTGCGAGCACCGGTGTTATTCACAGAAATCGCTTTACATAAATCACAGCTGGCGCTCTGACAGTAATTGACAGGAAACAAAACACATCCAGAGGCCGCTTGTTCCCGTCTACTATCACTCCATATCTGAACTTTCAATCACATCAGAGCTGAGTTAAATTCGCATGAGACGTAAAGGTATATGAATGGCATTCGATTTTTTTTCTTTTCCTTTTTTTCTGCCCCTGTTTACCTGTTTATCAAACGTGTCATTGCAGTCCTTCAAAGGGAAATGGAGCAAATGGAATGCGAGATGAAATTTATACTCTGGAGGGCAGTCAATCTTGATGCCGAAGACAACAGGCTAAAATATTACAGATGGGCTGAGTTCATTTCAGTGGAGTGATGAGAGACGAAAGGCAGCGTAAAGAGTGAGAAAAAGAAAGAACTTATCTGCCACCTCTGTCATTTTCAAAAAAAGGGCAGGAGTGTGGTCAGGTGATAGCCGCGAGCGGGTGCCGGCTTTATAAATGAATAAGAGTTGGTTGAAATCATCCTATCTACACCGGCAGCTCAGATTACGCTTCTTATCTCGGCCAGTGTCGTCCTCCTTAAATATATCTTCCAAATGGGTTTGATGAACTTGAGAGGAGAATATATCCTCGATCCTCCTAAAGAAGTCCCGAGGGCAATTCACCAAGATTTGCAGGGCCGAGCGGTGCAGAATTGAGAAGGTAGAAAAGAAAAAAGACAGAGAGAGAGGATGAGGAATTGAGAGAGAGCAGCCTTTGACAGGACAATGAGAGGAGTAAGTGGCCTTACTTTTACACTCCAGAAGACGGTCAAATGACTCCCCCCACGCCATCAATGACATCATTAACAGGAGCTCTGCAGAGCAAAATTGAAAAAAAAAAAACTTCATGAAATGTACATCTTGTCAAACAGACAGTGTACATTCTGTACAAAGGACCAGGGCACATTCACGTCAGAGATAAGCTGATAAAAAGTTAAATCCCAAATTGTACCTACTTATTACATTAGATTAACTAATTAACGTTTTATCTCTTAAACGTCACTTTTTAAATTAACTGATATAAATCATTCATATTGTCAGTTTAATAAAACTCCAAATGGGTACCTCATCTTGTCATATTTCCAAGTCTAGAGAATGAAATTAATAACAATGAGTAACATCTTAGCTGATATTGGCTCCTAATTGAATACCAGGTATCAGTACAGTGAATGACTTGATATCTGATGCCAAATATTAGATCAGTCAATGCTTCTCCTGGATGTGAGTTCATTCCTGCCCACAGCAGTGAAAGAAGTATTCAGATATTTTCCTTGCAATTTTTTGCTTTTACGTATCATCACAAAGTATGTCATAAATGCTGACTTCATAATGTAAAAATCATTGGTTTGATTGGTTGTCTATAAAAAAAGGAGTGCATGATTTCATCCCAGAAGGATGGGACCATCAGCTTAATCAAATGATACAGCCATGCGAAAAATGAAGTGCATATTTACTGTTTCCAAAAGGAATTTTGAGGATAAGTAGCAGCCAGGTGCTGCACCTGATTAAATGATCATCATCAAATGTGAGCATTTGTATAAAAGCATAAGAACCTGAATGCAGTCTGGAGCAGTCAGATGTGTGTTAACACAATGCCAAAATCTTCCCTGGAGTGGATGAATGCCCCAGAAATTCCCCCAGAGAAATTCATGTTTAGAGGAACTGCAAAAAACCCAAGGGCTGCATCTCAGAGTCAACTGGCCTCAGTTAGCGTGTTAAATATTAAAGTTTATGACAGAGCAATTTGGAAAAAACTGAACAAGAACAACAACAAGTATAGAAAGTCTATTCTCTCTAACAATAACTTGGCAGCAAAGGTTTGCAAAGCTCCATCTGAATAATCCGCAACCAAATTCTTTGGACAGAGGGACCAAATTGGAACGGTTTGGTCATAAAGTACAACACCAAATCAAACACAGCATATCAGCACAAATACTTCATTGCAACTGCCGAGTACAGTGGTAGAAGGGTGATGATTTGGGGTTTTTTTATACTACAGGAGCTTGACACCTTACAGTCTTTGAGTTCATCCTGAACTCCTCTTTATACCAAAGTGTTCTAGAGTCAAATAGAAGCCATTGTGCTGACAGCTAAAGTTTGGCAAACGAAAAGAACAATGATCCCATTCAACAGCAGCAAAGCTTTCACAGAATGACTGAAAAACAAAACTACCATGGTGCTGCAACAGCCCACTCAAAGTCCAGGCGTCAACATGACTGAAACTCTGTGGCAGGAGCTTAGAAGAACTGTGCATAAATGAATGCCAACAAACATCAATGAACTGAACCAACACTGTAAATAAGAGTATGCCAAAATTCCTTTGCAACAACATGAGAGTCTAATAAATTAACTAAAAAAACAAACAAACAATTACTTCAAGTTATTGCTCCCAAATGTTTTTCTACAATGTACAAAAACATAGGGTGTATGTAGTTTTTCACAGAACTGCATAGAGTACTGTGGAAACATTTGAGAGATAGCCACCTGTCATAATAACCACTTTTACGTTAAGTGTCCCTGTGGTGTTAACACATTTCACCACAAAGGTCGCAAAGAACCCAGGATGAGCGTATGCTGACTCGTGCACTGCATCCAGAGCCTGAGCTTGCTTGTAGCCTCCATTGACCATGTTTCTACAATGGAAGTCTCTATGGGCTTGTTTTCACCTTTGATTGTGTTTCTGGTTTTGTTTCAAACTTAAACATTTAAAGACTGACAAAAATCTCTATGCTAATCAAAACACACAAGATCAATGTGTGGGATTATAGCCCAAGGTTTATATTGTTAACTGACAATGCATTTCAACTCGTGTTACACAGTGAGGCAAATGTAATGTAACCAGTAGGGTAACAAATAACTCCAATGAGAAATAATACAACATGATGTATTAAAAAAATAATATTGAGTAATGCTTCTCCTTCAGAAGATTCCTGGATAAGATGTAAAATGTCTTCAAAAAATATCTATAGAAGTTCAGTTGCCTTTTTCTGACTAGCAACCCCAGCACTTCTTAAAGGAGGGTGAACAGAACAGTTCACTCAGAGGCAGGATAAAAGTCTGTACCTCAGTTTTAATTGAGTGTTTAGGTCAGTTGACAGAAAGAGCAGGAAAGAGTCAAAAGTCCAAAAATGCAAAAACTCCAAAGGAACCCCCCACTTTGCTGTAACTAAAATTGCAAAATTTAAGAGTCGTAAGCATCGTAAGCACACTGCCCACTAGAGGACAATGGGCGATCAGGCCACCCTCATAAAGTCTGTTGCTGATTGGTTGGTCAGGGACAACACACCAGTGATTTGCTGCAGGTTATGTTATAGCTGTGGCAGTGCTCACCCTGTTCGTCCTTGCACAAAGGAGCAGATATTGGTCCTGCTGATGGATTAAGGACTTTCTATGGCCCTGTCCAGCTCTCCTAGATGAACTGCTTGTCTCTTGGAATCTCCTCCATGCTCTTGAGACTGTGCTGAGAGACACAGCAAACCTTCTAGCAATGGAACATATTGGTGTGCTATGCTGGAGGTGTTGGATTACTCCAGATATTGCTTGATGCTGCCAGTATTGACCAGCCAAATACAAAACTACCCCAAAACAGTCAAAAAAGATGAGGAGGGGGACAGTGTCAGTGACCATTCTTTTTTGGGAGGTTGTCTCATTGCTGTGCCCTTAGTGCACCTGTTATTAATTTCATGAACACCAAAGCAGCTGAAACTGATTAACAATAACCTCGATCAATCAACCAGATCAATATCCCAGAAGTTTAACTGACTTGATACAATACTCATTAAAAAGTGCTGCTTTAAATTTTCAGAGCAGGGTATATTGATACAGGTTAGATAGTTCACTGGTGAGGAAAAAGTGTGATAGTACACAAAGGGAGGAAGCAGAACTAGGAACAAAAGGACCGGGTTCATGCAGAAGCATTACTTTTATGAGAATACTTGTTTAGCCATTAGGTTACTCCCTACAAAACAGTTTTTAGGCTCTCCTAGATCCAAATTTGATGATGAAAAGCAGATAATATCGTAATAGTCTTTTAAAATATCAATATAAAATGATACAAATGCAGGAAAATTATCAATACTGCAGTTTGGAAACAAGAGTAACTAAATATCTTACACATGAGCTGCTAACATTATGCAGATGGCAGTTAGACAGCTGTGGGGACTGGGGGTACTAGCGTGGACTGAAAAGCCTGTAAGTTTAATTGTAACTCATCTACAGGGAGTTAGATTTATGTCAGAAATCTGTTTTTTATGGCAAACCAGCAGCATCCTCTTGCCATTAATACACTTGTTCAGAGATTTTAAATTAGATGAAACTTTAATGATTCTTGTGGGCAAACTGGGTCGTTGCAGCAGCAGGGAACCAGATGAGAATAAGTCAGAGTGGTAAATGTTATTCAAGGAATTAAAGCAAGTGAACACGCTGAAAAGTAGAGCAAATAAATTAAAAAAATCAGCGACAGACTCACAGGATCAAATACTTGGCAAGACCTAGTCACGCTATCTGACATTCGGATGACATAAGAGCTGCTTTACAGATAATGTCAATGACAGATATAAATATTGATTGTAAGCAGGCAGGTACAGTAGCTTCTGCTCGTAGGGAAACGTGTGCTATTTATATCTATGACAGCTCCTCAGGATTCTGTTAGGTACTATTTTTTTAATGCAACCTCCTGTATATTCCCACAGGCTCTTCTAACTACAACATACATATTCATAACCCGGGGTGGGCTTTCAATTACTTGCTGAATTATATAAGGCTTAGAACTATTTAAAGTAAGTGATCTAAGGGAGCACTAATAGGAACAAACAGGAAAAATGGCCAAGATCTGACGGGAGGAATATGACGCACTGATGATAGCAAAGCTTTCACTTTTTATGCTCTTAAACTAGTCTGACAGTACAAAGTGGTAGAGCAAGGACTAAAGCGTCCAAGCTTTTAAGCGTAAAAAAAGACTTTATTCTACCTGTGTTAAAGAAATGTTCCAATAAATACTTGAAGATGAGCCTGCTTGAATGTTTTTGATACTGTTGTTACTGAGTTTCTCAGAAGTAAAGATGATATTAGAGCCACATATGCTCCCATCCAGATTTGATATCCTTTTAATGGAAGCTGTTGCATACAGTATTTTGGCAAGACAGTGCTAAACCCCATACTGGAGTTATTACAAGGACATGGCTTTGTTGTAAAAGTGTCCAGGTACTGAGCTGGCTGCAGTCCAGACCTGTTTAGTCAGACCTGACTGGGCACATCATGGAACGGAAAATATGACAATGAAGACCCAGGACTGTTGAGGAGCTGGAATCCTACATCAGACCAGAGCAGGACAACATTCCTCTCTCAGAAATCAGCATGCAACACAGTAAAATCGCCACCAAATTTAAAGTGAGCTGTTGTTTGTTATCAACAAGTAACATGTCCAACCTAAAACATCTGATATGTTTTATATATTCTCCTGTTCTCTGAGTAAAATCAAGATTTATGAGATTTAAAAATCATTTCATTCTGTTATTTACATTTTACACAGTACCCCACCTTTTTGGAATTGTGGCTTTTTGCTTTAGCTTGTGCTAAATTGGCTGATGCTTAACAGTTCAGGTTGGAACTTTTGTATGTATAAAGCTAAATAGATCTCATTTAACAATTTCAAGTCACCAGGTGGCCAATTACAGTTAGGCCTTCTATTTCTGTAGGACTAATATTTGAGACTGGAGTATAAAAATAAAAACTGAAAATGAACTGAGAAAATAACAAAGGAAAGCGCTGAGAGGAGCAGGTGCAGCAGAGAAGAAGCTGCTGGTGTGTCTGAAGCCACTGGAAGACAGCGCTCCAGAGAGGGTACACTTTAAACCTTGCTCTGCCCTGCTTCTTTATAAGATACACACTCAGAAATGTGCACATCATAGATGAATGTCCTGTGTCCGAGATTCAGAGGGTGCCTGGCAACCAGAGCTGTGAGCTTTTTTGGGGACAGTTTTTAGAGCCTCAGTTATGGGCATCATAATTTCTTTAACAGTGCTTGAGAATAATTTTCCCATATGCTAGGCTATAGAGAGCTGTCAGTGTGGAGAAATATAGAAATCAAGAACACTTCCTCATGTCAGTGGATTTTTTTCTGTCTCTAGGATGTCATTAAGTCAGCAGCATCAGCCTGACACTGTAAGCCAAGCATTAGTACCTGGTGCAAGACTGCTCCAGGCAGCACAGTCCAGCCTGCTGCGGCAAGCCAACATTGCAGAGTTAGTGTCACACACTTTTCTGCTGTGACAGCTGCCCAAATGACTGAGCATAACAGACAGATGCTGGAGACTTGTGTTGCTTGCAAACTAGCAGATTTCCCCCATATTTTTCTATCAGATTCTAGTTAACAGATTAACATCTGCTTTTGCTCAATTCTATGAAACATTTAGCTGCAAATGAATGCCCTGATGAAGGTAAGCATATGAACTAGAGAACCTTTGCTTCTTTTAAATTAAATTAGGTTAAATTTCGTTCCATTCAAATAAGTGAAAAATGTAAGGGAAGAGCACGCCGCCTTGTCCTTTAATGTGCATTAAGGTTGACTCGATAAGGGGAAAATCCTGGAAACCATTTTTTGATATGATGGGAAAGATTTTGACCCCATCGTTCAACAACAGAAGAAATAACGACAAAGTCAAATGCTGACAAAGTTTACTTGTTAATTAACAACTAATTTCCCCTATGAAAAGTAACTTTTTTACAAAGTAAGTATTTAGGACTCAATATAAAAGGTGCATTTGTTTTAGAAATTATTTTGATCATCACGAATCGTGAAGATAACACATTTTAAAACCTACTAATAAACAAAGGATACAAGAAACAACACAATACCTGGAATCTCAATGATTTAATTATTGTGGAAGAGCAGTATGGAAAATGCAAAAGAGACACACACACACAAAAAAAACCCCACAGATCACTCACTCACAGTCTGCATTTCTTTGCATCCTTAGCTCTGCTTTTCAGGCCTGAGGTCTGTCTGATTGCACTGCTGTGCTCTAGATGTTACTATTTATTTACTCAGATTAGTTCTCCAAACTCTGAACCCTCTGCTCAGTTCAGCTACAGTTCCCCGGCTGCCGTGCACAGACAGCAACCTGACGGATTCTCTACATGTCCATAATCTGCTCTGTCATGGCTTAATATCCCGTCTCTGACCTGTAGTTATTCTTCTTTTATCTAACTATCATTGCTAGTCTTTATTATAATGTAGTATAGTGTTATGAATGTTAACTACTTCAGCTGTTAGTGAGGGGAGGCACTGTGTCCCTGTGTGTCTGAAGCCGTGCAGTGTAAAGCTGTGTGTTAGCTGGAGGAGGCAAAGACAGACCTGCTTGTGTTGATATTGATGCTAAACATCCAGAAGAAGAAGAGACGAGAGATGAGGGTGGAGGTGGGTCTCAAAGTAGCTTGCAGATGCATATAGCACATCCAATATGAGAAGCTGTCTTTACTTTTTCAAACCCTTTTGCTTTTGTATGGTGTTGACAAGATGCTGAAGGAAGAAAATGCCATATAAGAGATTAATAGGAAGGCGCAAACTGACAGCTTTGGCACATATTTCTGTTAGATAATTGTGTAAAAAGCTCACTTGTCCAAGCACTGTTGCTCTAAATCATTCAATTCCTAAAATTATTCATAACAAAACAAAACTCAGTCTAAGGCTGTGACATCTTTAAGTTCTGTTTGCAGTTTCATGACCATTATCAAGCAGTTCTTCAGAAGTACAGGACAAGGCATCAGAAGAAAGGCTATCCTAATGCAGGCACTCAGTTTTTGGAGTGCATCATATAGAACAGAGAGCACATTCAGCTCAAAGTATTCTTGCTCGTCTTTGGCCCTTTTTCATGTTTTCTTTGGGAGGGAAAGAGTGAAGGGAAAGAGAGCTGCAGGCACACTGAGAAACACAAAGGAAGAAAGTTCCAATAAAAACGGCACAGATCACAGGAGCCCCATCAGAAATACTTGTTCTCCAACTCGCAGACAAGAGAAAACCATCCGCAAAACACATTCCAGTTTTATTTTAGCAACATGTTTTCTGTATGGGCGAGATCAGAGAAAGTCAGTCATTACCGAAGAACAAAGCAGACCGGAGGGGAAGTAAAACAGTGAGAATATTCAACAGTACCAAAAAGCTCACTGACAGACAACCTCTTTGTCTTGAAGCGTGAAGCCAATTTGAAGCTCATACTTACAACATGTGTTTTCTGTTGCCAAAAAGTATTTTTCTGCCGTTGTGCAGATAAGTGTCCTCCTTGTCGGGCTTCTCTTCCTCTGACTTACTTTACAGGTACAAGTCTGTGCATGTTGAGCTGCGCTACAGGCGTTCCCAGGGTTGACAGAAATGTCACTTTTCACTCGTCAGTTTTTAACTTAAACAGAAGCGAAGCCACAGGACTTTGGCACCAAAAGCCCACATTTTGTTGCTTTCCACAGATGTGTTTCTCAAGCTAGCGTTTATAGACATTTAGAAATGTGAATCATTTAAACTGAGAAAGAAAGATAGACCTCAAGCAAATCATTAGTTCCTAACTCCTCCCTGCTGCTGCATACCTGTTTGGCTAAGATTTTGGCCCTTCGAGACTGCCATGCAACCGATGTGAGAAATCTGTTGATTTAACAATAAAGCGCAAACATTTTCTTTGCTCATACTAAAAAATGGCTAAGATAATCATTAATGCTTTTTAGTGAGATGAACATGTCCTCACTATTTGTAGCAGTAGGTGTTACGCTTTTCAGTGACCCAGTAAAATTTGCTTTATGTATTTTCTCATGGAAGCAACTGTGAAACTGTCAGAAGAACACTGGCCAAATTCAGAAATAGGAAACAGAAGGTCTGAGAGTTTGTGAGCCACAATTGGATATAGAAAATTGTACAAATGAGCCAGTATAATAGAAAGGGATCAGCATTAAGGCCTTAGGCAAAGGAGGGACACTAATGACAGCAGTAAATATCATTCCTAGTTGTTTAGGAATGGTTAAAATAAAAAGAAACCCAGAAGGTAATGCTTTAAGTGCATTTGCTGTCTGACAAAATGGCAAATTTCACAATGTGTGAGTATAATTACTGTAGATCTGTGTGACTAGTTGTTGCTATAGCAACATAATATTCAACCAAAAAAAGCAACAAAAACAGCAATCACTGCTAGTGACAGAATATCATACACTTTTCCTTTTTTTTGCAGTATTTTGTAATATTTTGAATCCACTTTGTTATTTTATTGGTATCAACTGTGAGTTGTTCTTATAGGAGAGCTGATTTTGCTGATTTGTTGATTAAGGATTTAATTCAGGAGACGCTCTCTTGATTGGACCTAAATGTTATAAAAGAAGTAAAATGGTTTTGAAGCCCATCAATGTCAGATCCCATCTGATTGTAAAGGGGCTGCAGTTGGCACCAGTAACGGCCTTAATTTGGGTCAAGGATCGCCCAGTGTCTTGACGGACAGCCAATTGGACCCTAGAGCTCAGTGCTGGTGAAATATTTTGGGGTCTTCTACTTGACTTTTTTGTTCCATAACCATCAGGATCATTTAAGAAATTCCAAATGACTGTCTTACTGCCTCCCACCTGAGCAGCGATGGTGTGCTGCGAGAGACCCTGCTTATGCAGTTCAACAACCCGACCATGTTCAAAAGGGGAAAGTTTTTTGCCTTTGCCATCAGAACGTCATGACAGTGTGACTACCTGACAGAAAATGACAATGAATCCACATTTTTGCACAGATGTGACCTTTTAAAGACACATCTTAAAGTTTTGATCAGCTGTAAATCAGCCTGTTTCAGTTTAAGAGTTTTCAATAAATTGCATGCTCAAAACAAATGTTTTGTCTCACTCCCATTTCTTCTTGTTGCATGTTGAAGCTCTACTTGGACCCTTTTTAAGATCCAACCATGCAAAATCTGATTTTTTGCCATTTTTCAAGTGGTCTTAAGCTTTTGATCTGGACTGTATAATTGGTGTGTCACTCAAACTACAGGCAACCTGCTAACAAACAAAACAATCACAAAGAGGTTTTCACTGCAGAGCTCCAGACCTCGTGCACTGTGGTGCTACATGCCAACTGCTCAAGTAATACACATTCTTATGACTGGTGGTTACTGGGAGGGTGACTGACCAGTCTTTAGGCCTGCATGACTGGGACTTTACCAGTTGATTTCACCGGCTTACAAGTAGATTTGCTGCCTAATATTCACTCAAAAGGAATGAAAGCCAGTCCTAGATGAAACTTAAACCAGTGTTCTGGTTGAAAGTTGGGCAGTTTTTTACTTTCACCATGGAAACACTCCTAAGTAAGAATGTGTACATGAGTTGTTTGAGTTATCCTCCTTTATGTTTCATCCTGAACAACTAATTGGGCAGCCCAGTGTTTGTATATTTGTTATTTAAATGGCAAATCCACGCTGCCTCCGCAACGTTCCTGTGTTGCGACTGTCTAATCAGCATGCCTTTGTTTGTGAGTGGCCTCCTACACTTTTAATTATTCACTATATTATCCCCATCATCCATTCTCCTGACCTTCAAACCTAACTTACTTTCTGGCTGACAAAACTTTACTGAATGTTTGCACTGAGTGTGAAAGTACAAATTTATTTCTTAGATGGCTGTGAGTTAGTTAAATGTCACTCTGCCTTTACTGACTCAACCTCGTTTTATGATTTAGGCAGCTAACTATGCTGTAGGTGTGTTCTTACAGGCTTGTCACCTCATAACTATCGCGGTCTCTTTCCCTTGCATGAAGCAGGCATCTGTATAGGGAATAGGAAGCTCTTTGACCCAGTTCACTCTGAAACATCAAACTCCTTGGAGAAAACCATTGGCAGAAAGAGGCAGATGCTGAAGTATCAGGCAGAGGTTGGGATGTAATGTCCTCATCTAACACGGAGAGAGAAAGACATGGAGAGGGATGGGGCAATGAAAATGACTGATGGGAGCACAAATGGCAGAGCTGTGATCAGTAGGAAAGAAGTGGAGAGGAAAAGAAGGGAAACGGGGGACAGCGCTGACAGCTGAGCGGGCCTACCTGTCCGCCCATCTCTCGTTTTCTGTCTTGATTTGCAAGTCCTCGACGGGACGCTTGCCGGGGCCAACCCGGAGAACAAGAACAGATGTCATAAAACACCGCTGCGACTGGGATTTGCATCTGTAATGACCTCACTGGAGATGCTGCGAGTATGACGTTCCCACCGCAAACCTGTCACATACGCACTCTGAGCAGTATTCATCCCTGTATCTGCCAACCTATCACTATCACCGTGATGGAAAACTGCTTTTTCTTTTTGCCTTTCCCACCATTGTACATATCGCTTGGCTTTTCCTCATGGCCCACAGTCTTTGTCTTAAGTTTACTTGTAAAATCTTATGCAACATCATTTTTGAAATATAATTTTATACATATAAACTTGGTCAACACACTCTGCAGGTATAAGTGAAAAAGATTGCCAAGCAGGTTTACAAATCCGGTCTATACCGGACTGATAATGTTTACGCTTTAAGGTTGCTGAGCAAGTTCAGTGTGTGGAGATCAAAGGTTCAGATAAAGAGCAACAGAGTGATTTTCCAAGCCTGGCTGACAATGAGATGAGATGGAGTGGTTATATTTAAGAGTGACCCAGATGCAGCTGTATCTCCAGCTCCACTTTGTAAATCTACAATAAGCATATTACCTCAGACACTTCTGAGGAGGCAGAGTGGATTTCAGACATTAACACAGGTCACTGTGGCTGTTTTTCTATATTATTTTCATAGTATGGCGTGATGACACCAGGTGTTATGTGTTATTGCCTGGTTTATGATTGGCTTATAAACTACGCCTGTTTCACATGGACGGTTCTTGTAAAGTTGATGTTTATACTTATATGCCATACTCTAGACTTATATTTGAGCTATAAATATTTTTACTATAAAGTTAAAATGGATAGTTATATAGTACTGGTTTTAAAGAACATATAGAGAGCCCAATTGGCAATGGTATAATTCATTAAACGTAAACGCTGAGACTAGCTCGTGTTCAGATTTACTCCTCTTTTAGTTTCACTCTTATTTATATGTTATACATTGCTTGGTAAGACTCGGGTTCTAAAAGTAATAATTTATATTAAAAATGAGTTAGTCTCACAACCGCCACATCAAGTGCAAGTTACATGTATTCATTCTGTCCGATTATAATTGCGAATGCCTTTTATTAGCATTTCAAAAAATCATTTATTTATCACTTAAATTGTAGAAAAAGTGATTCGTAAATATAAACATTTAATCATATGTTGACAATAGGATGATTTTATAATAAATTAAATTAGCTAAAAATTTGATCGTTGTTATAAAGTGTTATGTTCATGTTGGTACATTCTAGATTTTCATGCAGTACTACCACTACTACAACTGTAGCTTGCCTCCACCAGTGTGTGAATGTGAGAGTGAATGAATCGTGGAATTGTAAAGCGCTTTGAGGGCTCCGAAAAGCGCTGTATAAATGCAATCCATTATTATTATTATTATTACTATGAATAATAATAATGGTAATAATGGTGATTTTGTCCCAAGGTGACATTGGTACATCTCCATGTTTCACATTAACAAAATTGAAAGCTAGCAGGTGAATACAGAACTACATGTAGCTGCTTGAGAGCAAGATATAGTCCCCCAGACTGAAACATAGAAAAAAGAGACAGAGGGTTGAGTGAATGCTACTGTTAGTCTCTGCCTGCTGCATGTTTAAATATGCAACTTCTTGCTATCATGTGCCTCTTTTAAAGATAGTAATACATGTATGTATGTACAAATTCTTTTGTTACACCAAAGCAATCAGATAATCATTGATTCCACTCAAAGTCCAGGCCAGTGTAATGCAAATTATGTCTACTGACTACAATTAAGAACAACTAACATGCCGTACTCTGGGATTCAGTGAAATAAAAGCCCTCGCCCTAAGTAGATAACCTTGGCTTAATTAAATGAAACAAGACGCTTCTGTGAAATGTATTTCAATTACGTTAAACTCCAGTACATTATTTTATATTTTACAAAACACAAATAAATGTCTATATTTAAAGCTTTCACTTACTGGTGACGTCTTTCTTGCCCAGACAACACAAACAACTGTTTTGACTATGTATGAGCTGCTGAAGGACAGGTCTCTCATGCTTGCTCACAGGGCACATATTGAACAATGGGAATATAACAGTTTTGCATGGAGAGAACATCTGCTTAGAATTTATTCATCAAGGTCCGTCCTAAATAACCCACCTTTGCTTATAAGAGCCAGGTAATTGAACTGTACATACCCATATTCATTTGCATAAACCATTAACGTAAGATGCCAGTAATTTGGTAGATGAAGGCCACGGGAGGCCCACATCCAGCCTAATAACACCCTTGGATCACAACAAGCTATTTAAAACTACATACACAGGTAATTTAACTTTGGTATCCAGCGTGCAAAAGTCTTGAGCCACACCTCATGCCTTTTTATTTTGTTGGAAAATGGGTGCAAAGATTTATTGAAGCATGTACAAGA